GCTGTGATTCAAACGTAGTGCCTGTCACATGCCTAGCACACAGGGCGCCATTGATTAATAGATGCTTACTACTCTATGTTCAATTTCCCAAGGGTCTATTGTAATCCGCAGAGAGAGTACACACTTAAAGCTTGTTGAGTTGTTCTGTCTTGATTGTAAGATTTATCCAATTAAGCATGAGAATTAACATCTTGGAGGCCCCCAGTGCCAAGAGAGGGGAATACAGACACAGATGAGCTTGCTGGGCATGTTAGTCTATACCCGTGGCCAACCGAAACCGTGTGCGTGTCTGCATCTCGCGGTTTCATACACGTAATCCGGGGCAGCCCCGGGCGGTCATGGCGGATTGTCGGTGACTCTCATTGCCAGTGATGTCATTCCGGAGAGGGGGGTGACGCTTGGTGACTCATTCATCGGCTGGGTTTCCCAAAACCCCTCGGGAAGTTCTGTCCCTCGGGGCCTGTCATTCGGCTCCTGTCCCTGGATCCGGGCCAAGGGCGGACTGCGGATTTGCTGGGGTGCTTGCTGTCAGCGCGGGGCAGATGGTTCCAGATTCCGTGGGGGAGAGCTGGCCTTGGCCCAGCGGGGAGACCCAGCGTCAGGGTTCCTGGATGCGAGAGCAGCAGCTCCGTCCAAGAAATACAGCCTGTTCCTGCTCGGGCGTTTGGATCTAGCCCAGCGTCAGAACTTTGTCCGGCGTTCCCGCCACCACCGGCTACTCGTCCCGGGGCTCAGGAGTTTGAGACCAGCCTGAGCAAGAGCGAGACCCCATCTGTACTAAAAAATAGAAAGAAATTAATTGGCCAACTAAAAATATATAGAAAAATAACTAGCCGGGCACGGTGGCGCATGCCTGTAGTCCCAGCAAGGCTGATGCCACAGCACTCTAGCCCAGCAACAGAATGAGACTCTATCTCAACAACAACAACAACAAAAATTTAAAAAAATAAAAAATCACCAATACCAACACAAAAAAAATAAATACCAAAAAAAAATAACCAATACCAATACAAAAAAAATAAATACCAAAAAAATAACCAATACAAAAAAATAAATACCAAAAAAATAACCAATACAAAAAAAAATACCCCAAAAAATAGCCAATACTAATACAAAAAAAAATAAATACCAAAAAAAAAAATAACCAATACCAATACAAAAATAACAATAATAATAATAACCATTCAGGCCTGTTGTGCATTTCACGGTTGGCATACCAATTTGACTTGGTTCCATCTCGCCCAATGCCATGATAGAATTTGCTAGAAAACCGTTCCTTGGGGGAAAAGGAAGTTTGCCATTCACCCTCTAGAGAGAATCAGCGCAGCCTTTCCTTCCCGTCCCTGCAGTGCAGCCAGCCGTGCGGCGGAGGGGTGCGGACCAGGCTGGTGGCCTGCCACCGGGCCAACGGGGAGCGGTTCCCGGACCTGAGCTGCGAGATCCTGGACAAGCCGCCCGACCGGGAGCAGTGCAACACGCACGCCTGTCCCCGGGACGCCGCGTGGAGTGCCGGCCCCTGGAACCCGGTACGGCCCTAACTCTTCCCGCTTGCTAGCCTGCCTCTCTAACCGCGGGGCGACAGGTGCATGTCACGCGCCCAGGGGCGTCCCGCAAACCGTGCCAGGACTAGTCTGACGGTCTCCCCACGGCGTCGCGCGGTAGCATTCGCTGTCCGGGATGTCGCCAGAGCGACCTAACGGAGCACGTGCCCCTCGCTGGGGACCTGGTCCCTAGAAGCGGCTGTCTCTTCCTGGAGGGACTGACGTTGCACGCACCTGTGTGCAGTGGGACGCCAGCAGGCAGCCCCATAGATCGCAGGGACTCTTTCCTTTTCTGAGCTTTAGTCGTCTTGACTCTGGGGAAAGACAACCTGCTTATTGAGGCCAAAGCGATTTTCTTTCCTTGGGTGACTACGCTGTTTGCCTGGGTGTGACTTGGGGGTCCCGTTCTCAACGTTAATCCCCACAAGGCTGTGCCTGCAAAATAGACTAAAACCCTTCTGAAAATGCAAAAGACCCACCGTGCAATCAGTGACCCCCCGGTGGTGCCTTTTGTGGTGTCTGGAATGTTCTGTCTCTTCCAGCCGGACAGGAAGCCCGTTTGAGAACCACCACCCCACCCTTTTCTTTTTTCTTTTTTTCTTTTTTTTTTTTTTTTTTTTCTTTGGTCCTGGTCTTCATTTCCTACCTGCTAAGCTAGCAGCTGGCATGGTGACACAGGTTTGCCACTGTAAATACGAATGCAGACTTCGGGGGCAGCTCTTGGCAAACGGAAAGGATCGGCTGGGTCAAAACAAGACTTTGGCTGAGTCGTGTCACCAGCTGCGTAGCCGTTTGGGCCCGTTTCATGGAAATACGTAATCGGCCCTGTAAATACAGCAATTGCACTGAAGTTGAATTTAGTACTAGAGTTAAGTCAGACCAGGACCTTTTGTATTTCACCTGGTTCTGGGGGGAAAAGTATTAACCATTTCTCAAGAGCAGATTAGGTGGGGTGACATGGTTAAGATTTGTTGACGCTTCTAAGAGTTAAGGGTTTCAATGTCTGCAGGTCTAACACTAGCTGTAAACCCACCGTGCTTTTGTATTAAGTAGAAATCTAGGAGAATTTAGAGCATTATCTCATCTGGTATTATTTAGCTGGGTTCTAAGGATTTTTATTCAAGAGCTTAAAAAAAATGCTTCTCTGAGTCAGATGTACCTTTTTGCCTACAATAATGGCATGCTTCCAAAATGAACATTTTTCGAGAAGATCAGAAATAACCTTAGACTCTCATAAACATCCTCTGAAATTCCCAGCTTCCCTAATCACCTGTTATGTATTATTTTTCATCAAATTTTCCCTCTTGAGCTCATTATATTTTCACCCTGTTCACTCAACCAATAGCAACACTGACAAGAGTTATGTTTCAAAAGTCTACTAGCTCTCTAAAAAGTAATATTTCGTTAATTTTGAGCAAAAAAAAAAATCTCTTAACCCTTAGAAAGGGTTACACAAGACTCTTCATTGCATACTCCTGTGGTTTGATGAAAAAAAAGAAATCCGTATTTCCCTTCTCCAAACTCTAATTCCATTGATCACACCATATTTTTCTTTTAGGAAGAATTATTTGGGAAAACAGGGAGACAGCATAGTCCTAGAGAATTATCCATTAATTTCCACAGCATTCTCTTCCTTCAACACTTTTTGAATATAGCTCAAATTTTTTTATGCAGAATCTCCCATAGATACTTTAAGAGCATAAATGTTTAAATTTTAAAACATGAACTGCTAATTATTTTAACTGAAGACATGGATTTTATTTAATGCAGTTGTTCTTCTTGAGCCTGTGCATAGTTTTCTGAAATAGAAGAAGAGAGAGAAAGAGAGAAATTCTAAAGCTCTAGTAGGCACAGAAGCAAATGCATGGATTTTAAAAACAGTTTTGCTGCGTAGATGATTTTAATGCTTTCTTTATAAAGTGATCATTATTCAGATATGCATTTAAAACCTCTACAAGCCTAAAAGCAAGACCACTTGTGCAAGGCTTTTTACTTGTGATTTAAAAAAAAAAAAAAAATTAAGAGCATTTTCTTTAAGTAGATACATTTGTGATATATCACTTTTCCTAACTACGTGTGTTAAGAGGACAGTCTTTCAGATTCTTAAACTGTAGGATTTGGAGTTTAATTTCATGTTTATTTCTGTGGATGCCTTGGTATCCTGTCTTAGTGATTCTAAATTGCAGCATACCTCAGTGAATTGTGTTAATAGCCATAAAGCCACTTCGATGGTGCTTTGTCATTGTAACTGACGGTGAAATTAACAACAGCAAAAAGTATATTTGAGGTGCTAACATGTTGCTTTCAACAGAAAGCAAATTAGATTTTTTAGAGACCCAGAGTAGCAATTAGTCCTTCTGCCTGGTTGCTTTCTCTCCCCCAGTACTCCCTAGCAGTAAAGATAATAATGTCAAGGCACAACTGTGCTGCATGAGTTAGCCTTCTGCAAGGTCAAAATGCAGATAGCTTGTTATTTATCAGCACTTGTTACTAAAGAGCAGCATTTAGAAGAGAAACCCCGCATCACCCTTAATTTGGCTTCCAGAATCCCCAAAATGAAGCTTCTATGATAACTTAGAATTCAGGTGCCCATTTTAGACCGACATTTGGTTCCGGCTCAAGTCAATTGCAGAAGTTAAGAATCATGATTTTTGAAAACCATCCTCTAAAAATTCAGCCTGTTCTATCTTTTTTTTAAAAAAAATGTGTCCTTGGACTCTTGTTTGGTCATTATTTTTTTTTTTTTTTGAAAAAACAATATGTGTCTTCAACTAACCTGCCTTTGCATCACCTACTGCAGCCAGCCCCAGCAAAATCCTCAGTAGTCAAAAAGCACAGGTCCCCCGGCTAGAAGGATCAATTGGAAGGAGAGCTCCTGTTCTATCAAACCACAGCAGAAAGTAGGGGGAAAATCCAGAGCATTCTAGAGCAAGCCCATGCATCTAGGTAATTAAAGTTTTAAAAGTCTGCTAGGCGGTTCCATATATCTGAGATGGTTCTTTGATATTCCTTTGTGCACTGCCATGTGTCCACCTGCTGACCACCATGGAGGCTGTGGTTTTCCTTAGGAGAAATGGCTTGTTTGGGTTTTTATGACAAACCTAAAAGTGTTCTCTGAGCCGTGCCTTTTAGGTGCATTGGAATATGCCTGTCGACCCAAATAATGAGAATTTATGAGCTCACGGAGGAACTGTGCTTTTGTTTCTGCCTGGCCAACTTATGAATTTGTATCTACCTCATTTTGGTATTAAAGTTTGCAGCTTTTATAGGTAGCAAGAGAAAATGTTTGACATTAGTGTTTTTATAACCTCACTGCGTCTATCCTGTAGAAAAAAAAATAAAGATTGTAAATATCACCCCCATGTTTTTTCTAAACACGGTTTTAAGCAGCCACGCCTAGTATTTTCTGAATATTTTGAGCAGCACAGATTTCTATGTGTTTAAATAATAAAGCATATTTATTTTTTTCATGTTATTTAATTTTATATGCAATGTTTAAAAATCAGTGTTTATCAGCAGAATGTAAAGGCAAGTAGGCGATGTGAATTAGACATGAATGTATATGTTTCTTTTGGTTTAAGAAGATGCATTTTAATTTTGTAAATTCTCTCCAACCTGTACAATCTCCCTCCAATCTGAGTAGCCCAGTGCCAAGCTCTGTGTAACTGGGTAGCTCAAAGCGTGTATTTTAAAGGGATCTTTATGAAATATTTCTGAATTGGAAATGATGCTTAGTTATATAAACAAAAATGTATGAGGCTTAACATTTTGTTGGGTATTTTTTCTAATGCTGTTGTCCTGAGTCGTGGAGTCTCAACTATGAAATATGAACGTTCCATTTATTGAATTTGTAGATAATGACAAAACATGGCCAGAAGACAAAATGAGAGATTAGAGAGAAGTGGTTCTAAACACAGAAGAGAAGCTAGTTACAGGAAAAAGCAAATCCAATGTGCATAAATTTGATTGCACCTTATTCCTCGTGTTTAGAGAACAGGAAAAGCCTTCCAACATTGGCCAATTTTGTTATTTGTTCACCTGCCTTCCATTTCAGGAAAACATTTCTTGTCGAAGAAAAATTAAAAAGGACTATAGCAATCAACTTGGACATTTCAAGAGAGCGTACCCTTTGCAAAAAAAAAAAAAATCTAAATCATAAAAGTGACAGGGGAGGCCTAATGAGACGTCATTTCCTTGCTGAGCCTACATTTTGCACTGTAGTTTATTACGATACTTATGACTGAGAGGACCCAAATAAGGGGGTTCCTGTATGAGTCAGACTTTTTTTTTTAATAAGATGACTTTTTCCAAGTAGATGATGATAATAGCTAACTTCTACAGAGTATTTCCCATGTACCAGGCCAAGTTAAGCAAACACACATCACATTAATGCTCTTGTTCTACCCCGTGAGAGAGGTGCTGTTAAAACCCATTTGACAAAGTGACAATCTACTTCAGTGATACAGTCTCGGGGTCATTGTACTGACTAGATCAATCTTATTTCGGTGGAAACAAACAGCCTATGTTCAGAATCAGTGCTTAGGCTCCTTTTTTATATTCACAAAAGGATGTGCCTAAAACTGAAACTTTAACCTCAAATACTGTGTAGCTAATTTTGACATCATCCATTTGACTGTAGCAGCAGAAGATCCAAACTCATTACTGTCACTGCTAAATTCCCATAACCAGCAATTATGAAAAATGTCCAACAACTATTTGGGGAATGGCAAAACATCCCTCTCTGTCATTTGAAAGATGTAATTTTAGCCATGTTAGAAAGGTGATATCAAGATTTTGACTATAAGGAATATCACATAATAATGCATATGTGTTTTTAATATGTTTTGTATTTTTACTAAAATGAAGACACATTTTAAACATATTGCCAGCACTTATGAAAAATAATGGCCACATTCTTTGGCTACATCAGTATGGAATAAACAAAAAAAAAATAAGACAGTTTTTTGAGGAGCAAAATCTTACAT